GATAGTTGCCACTGTCGTCAAGGTCTCCCTCCTTATACAGCAACACGGTCCTGCTGGTTTTCCACGGAGTGGGTACCTTGCATTCCGACAGGTAGCGCGTGAAGAGTCGAGCCAGAGTTTTGATGATAACTGGCGGTGCATTCTTCAGATGTTCCGGTTTGACCCTGTCGAGACCGGGTGCTGTACGATTCTTCACCGACTTGATGGCGTGTCGGAAGAGAGAACTGAGGGACGACGTATCCATCCTGTTGCAGTTGATAAGTGGGCAGATGGACATGGCTATCGAAGAGATCCGAGTAGAAGTCGTGGATGACTTTCTCCATTGCCCTTCGGGATGCAGTAACTGTTCCATCCGGACGTCGGAGGCAGGTCATCTTGGTCTTGTAGCTGGCAAAGCTTCGGCGGGCATTGCGGATGCTCCTCCCAGCCTCTGCTGCTTCAGCTAATACTGCTGCTCTTCGCTCCTTGAGATCTTCCTTTATCGCCTCTCTGCATAGCTTCGCAAGCTCGGACGTGAGTTGGTGATTGCCTGCAGCTCGTGCGGCTCCACGTTGGCGTATCAGCTCGAGAGTTTCCGTAGACAGACGTCCTTTGGTGACTTGCAAACTCTGCCTTCCTGCCACTCTCGTGAAGGTGTTCAACGAGCCGATGATATTCCTCGTCGATGTTTTCGATAACGGAATCCTCCCATAAGCTGACAAGAGAAGTGAAGTGATCCCAGTTGATGACTGTCCTGGGGCTTCGCTTCCTGAACTTTGCTGCTCTCTCAACACGCATCGAAAAGTGGAATCTTGCGCGGAGGAGACGATGGTCCGATCCCGTGTAGAACTTCGGAACAACAGCGACGTCGGTCAGGCAAAACCTTCGATTGAAGATGATGTGGTCTATCTCGTTATGGAACTGTCCATCAGGTGACTCCCAAGTCCAACGAAGGTGAGAGGGCTTTTGGAACTGTGAGTTACCATGGATGGTGTTGGTCGACATGATAAACTCAGACAGTCTTTCGCCCTGCTCATTCCAATCCATTCCGTGAGTACCGATGTGAAGTTCTTCAGCCGTTCTTCTTGGGCCAATCTTGGCGTTGAAGTCGCCGACGATGACCTTGAAGAAGGTATGATCTTCCTTGTAGAACTTCTCCAATTCCATATAAAATGCTTCGTGTTCCTCCTCGTCGTAGCTGGATGTTGGTGCGTAGGCGACGAAGATTGTCAAAGCAGGAGTTGAACCACATCTTCTCAATCTCAAACGTCCGATTCGGGTCGTAAGGCTTTCGTACGAATCGATGTTTATGGCCAAGTGCGTGTAGTTCTTCTCCAGTATCGAAAACGGCGTGTAGCGGGCGGTGCCTTCTCGTCTCCGGTCAGTCCGATGACGTCGTACTTGATCTTCCTGGCCTGCATCATCAGATCTTCGATGTGAGCTTCGGATGCAAGCGTTCGTGCGTTGAAAGTACAGACTCTTAGTCTCTACATTACGGCAAACTTTGCCGGGCGGCTCGCCATCAGGGTCAACCCTGCGTTGCGCAAATTCCCAAATTTTTACGACCCCCTTCCTTTTCGGGGGTATCGGTACGACCCCCCATATTAACTATCATGTCTTTCACATAATTCAATGCTCATCAATGCTCATCAATGCTCATCAATGATGGCAGTCACCAACATGGAGAAGTGGTGGACCGTCAATCCGCGCGCTTTGTCTCGCTCAGAGGAGGAATCGAGGCAAATGAAGTTTTATTCATTAAATAGAAGGAATTTCCAAATTTTTGCGTAAACCAATACATCATTTTAATCGTAAAGATTTCTACTTTCAGAAACCCACCAGGATTTTTTCGATCTCTCAACTTTCCTTACCTTATAATCTGAAAAACTAAACCTTGTAGCAATTACATTGCAATCCAAACCCCTCCATTCAGAAGGTTATATTTTCTTTCAGAAGCTGTTTCATGAAATCGGACACCAAAATTTTGAAAAAAAATAGTTTTCTTCCTGAGGAGTATTTGAAATGTTGTGGATGTTCAATATTTCAAAAAATCGTCCCGTTGTTCCGTTTTCTGTGCACACGCGAGTTTTTGACATTCAAACATTCATAACTTTCTTCATAATCAACTTTTTGCAAATGTCTAAGGCTAATTAGAAACTAGAAGATTAGAGCTTTCGAATGAGTGCTAAAACTTTTTAAAATAATCACTCGCTCAAAAAATAGTCCCGTTCCGTTCTTTCCACCGTGAGTTTTTTCAAGCTATTTTCCTGGACCGCGACTATGCAGTCTTCAAAGGCCCATAACTTCCTTCAAAATGTGATGATGAGAAGCGGTAAAGATTGTTGGAATCCACTCGAAGAGTACTTCATAACAACTGTGAAATTTTCCTGAAATTCTTTCTTCTGCCTCAATTTTCCTACGGCGTCTCTAGAACTCAATTCAGCAAATTCGCTACACTTTGTTTCGCTTAGATTTTATTTGAAAGCATCATCGAAACTCTTCAGAAAGTTTGTTTGCTTACGGCCGCTGACAGAGGAGGCGTTTTTGGGAAAACGCCTGCTCGGGTATACGCCGTGCACCTATCTGTGGGCAGAATTCGCACTCGCATTTGAAAGTCTTCTGTTTTCCTGAAGAAGGTGTTAGTATCCTGATTGAGTTGCATTGTGCTGTTATATGGCACTCTTGTTTCACTTTCCCATGAACTGCTCTACACTTTGTTCTCCTCGGGATTTCAGGAATGTTTCATCATCGAAGACAGACCATGTTTTTGCACTACACTGTAACAAAGTTTTTGGCTATTGTCTATTGTACTCTTGATCTATGCCGCGGAGCAAAAGCGCCGTCCGGATAGCGTCGATTAAGGATAATAAGCTGATGGTGAGACTTATAGTGCTCTGCATGCTTTAATGCTCCCATGGAGCTCATGTCTGTGTGACTCTCCGACAGCGTGCAGAGCTCCTGGAGAACATTAGAGGCTGAAAGTGCACTCCCGGACACTGCACTTTTCAAGCCGTCTTGCAGCCCGTCTGTGGATACGACCCCCTCCCTTTTCGGTCGGCTGAATACGACCCCCTCGTTGTTCTTTGCGCAACGCAGGGTTGACCCTGGTGAGATTCTAGCAGCCTCTCCCGAGCGGTCCTACCCAACGCTGCCGTATTGGGGGCTCCCTCAGGTTCAGGGGAATGAGGCCCATTGAGAATCTCATTCAGTTTCCAAATATAAGGCTTTGGAGAAATTCTAACTTCCGTCAGATGCTCAAAAGGCATACCTCAAATATTCTGCAAATTATAACAACTACGAAGTGATGCGGCGCAAAGTGATAAAGGTAAACAATCTCTTACGATTGTCTTGACGTCGAGGACTCTATGGCTTTAGTTAAGGACTCATTTCGACAAGTGCTGACGCCTGATAATTTCATTGAACCTCCCATAATCTAGTAGGACAAAACAGTAGAGTGAACATACCAGCATTATGTGTCCTGTATTGTACCATATTTCACCGGCAGCATCCTCTGTGGCTGTGGAATGAGCTCTGAATACCTTGTGGCTTTTACAGAGTGCTTTCTAGATTTAAAGACAACAAAAGCAAGGAGAAGCGATGAAAAGTGATCTTATTACAGTTGTTATCTAAGACTACCGTTGTATAGAAGAGAGTGCAAAGTCGAATTGCTGACAGGCGAAACAACACAATCCAATGTTCATCATCAGTTCGGCGTTATTCACACCCATTTGCATGATTCTTCTGAAACAGTCAGAGTTCGGAGATGTGTCAAAACCAGACTTGCAGAGATAGCGTTCGCTCTGTTGATATAAAGCTTTCGTATTCTTGACCGATAGTATCGTAGAGCGATCTCTGGCTTGTCGTCATAAAAACAATTGGTGGCGATACAGGCGATCGCCTCGACGTTGTTTGCCTGCACACTGAGAATCTTCTTATAGCACTCATTGGATTCAGCCATTTCGCCGAGTAGCTGAAATGCGAATGCGCTTTTTTACGGTATTACAGATTTCAAATCGCAGTCAAATCCATATTGGGACAACGAACAGCTCAGCTGAGTCCAAAAAATTGGAACTGGTGAAACGTGATTGTTGAACTACTCGCGGATGCCACCGGTCAACACATGAGCTTCAAGATGCTCCTTATTTCACTCAGGAAAGCTTTGGAAGACGTAGAGTTGCCCTGTTTTCTTGGGCCATCCGAGATCATCGTTCGATATTTGATGTTTGATATGTTATGCGATTTGCAAATTTGCAAAAGTCATGGGTCTGAAGGAACGACTCCCGTCGACGAGTGCTCGGAAGAAATTCATTTAACCATCTCACCGCGCAGGCTTTTCAGAGGGTCAGTTGTCCTATCCATCACAACAGTCCTATGAGCGCGCTGTATAGTGGCGTTTTTCAAACAATTGCATTCATATCTTCAAAAACACGCTTTCCTTTCCAGAACATTCATCAATCTTTTTTGAGACTTCCTGCAGTTATCCAAAATTACGAAATTCCAGAAAGGTCATCGATTTCTAATAATAATCTACTCATTCAGCGCAGTAACTTCAACTCTCCCGTGTTTCTGGACGAGCCTTGCTTCGTCCGCAACATAGAGGAATGGTTAAAACACTGACTCCAACTTCTAATCAAGTATTTGTTCATGAGATAATGTCAAGGCCCCAAAGCATGATCAGCGTCCCAGGGTCTCAACGACCTACACATGTTCAGCGAAGGCTATTCTCGGCTCCGCTACTGTTGACCCTCGACTTGGCTGGAGCAATACAACATCCACCGAACCACACGAACATATCCTCTAACAGACATTTCAAGTTTCAGCTGACCTTCAAGTTGCGTTCTATTTGATGCAACTTCGTTAGAGGAAGCCCAACCCCACCAGACTAAATTTTGTGCCGTTGAATTTTTACTCTAAAAATGTGGAATCATTAATGCACCCGCCGAAATACTACAGCTAAGTCGATATTCTCGACTGGCACATGCACTCGATTCGGAACATGGTAAAGCTGTGGTTACGTTGGGTAATATTCGGCAGAGACATGCAGACAAGCGAATCGTTTTTATCGAGGAAAAGCTACAGACCTCTTTATTTCTTGCCAATCCCGTTAGCAAAGTGACGTCATCGTGGTAAAGCATAAGGCCTTGTTCGTAGTATTTGTTCGATACCAAAGGTTGGTCGAGTCGATTGTATACCTGTGGATAGGGTAGTTTCTGGTGATGTTTCTGGTGATGTTCAAAGGCGTGATTTTGAATTATTCAAAAATAAATAGGATAAAATTCTGAAGCTGGGCAGTTCATAAGTGAAACAGCCTAGTTCATTCACCTTAGCAAGGTAAGCGTGAGTTTCAGGTAAACGATGGTTTTTCAAGGACGACAGAAATTGCTTCTCAGCCTCTTGAAGTAAACCAAGCCTGGAAGCTTACAGGTAACGTCTAACGACTGTGACTGTGCGCATATTTTGATTAACTAATACTTCAAAGACTTCAACCAGTTGTCCTAAGGTCGATTGTCCGAAAACTGCGCGGTACAATAAAGCATACCTCATGTAGCATTTTCCGAGCTGATTCTTCCAGTACCAATCCTCGTAATTGGCTGCCTTTGTGGCTACAGAGGCAATCTGAACCAAAAAAGTGACAAGAGATGGAGCAATACTTGTGTACTCTGGTACTGCACTTGAAGTGCTCGATTGCGTTTGATTTTTTATGTCTGAGATCGATTGGATTCAACAGCGGCATGAATGATTGTGATAACAGTAGAAAAGCTTGAAGAATTACACTGAAAGTTCCGTGAGATTCAAAAAAAATCTTTGCTTAGTCAAAGCACGATTGACCATTCTAGCGACCACGTGTTTACAGTTTGTTAGTTGTTTCAATATTAAGTATACCAGTTTGGCTGCGCACGCATTCGCGTGCATGAGACGGGGCTGCAGCGGTAAAATCGGGCCCATCAGTATTTTTGTCTTGATTTTAGCTTTCTGCTCGGTACATCTTACTTACGCCGCAAACTCCGCCCACATCCGGGTGTGCCACGCCCAGCGTTCACATTCAACCTCTACTCCTACTTTCACCTCTGGCGTATTTTTTTCAGGTCTCTAAGTCATCTCGGAGCCGAATTATGAGGTCTTGTAAATGGCGTTATGAGTCACGAATTTCTGAGGCAGACCCCGCCCACTTTGGTGCATGGTTAGCCCAACAATGGCATTCAACCCTACTCCATACCTCAATACTTATGCACATTTTCCCCGGTCGCCGGAACTTCTAGGAACCGAGTTATGAGAGCGGTGGCAAACTCCGCCCACATCCGGGTGTGCCACGCCCAGCGTTCACATTCAACCTCTACTCCTACTTTCACCTCTGGCGTATTTTTTTCAGGTCTCTAAGTCATCTCGGAGCCGAATTATGAGGTCTTGTAGGGGACGAAATCGAGCAACGTATCGTTGTGGTAAACCCCGCCCACTTCGTTACATGCCTCGCTCACCGATACCAAATGACTATCATCTCTTCCCCAACCTCATTCTACTATTTTCCCATCTCCGGAACTTATTGGATCCGAGTTATGAAGTACCGTGGCAAACTCCGCCCACTTTAATGCATGCTCCACCTGCCCACAGCACTTGACCCCCTTCCCTCTGCCAACACTTATACGCTTTTCCCCACACCCGGGACTCATAGGAACCGAGTTATGAGGCTGGTTGCAAACTCCGCCCACTTTGGTGTAAGCTACGCCCAGCCTTGACATTTAGCTTCTCCTCTTCTCCTAACCTGTATCCACTGTTTTCAGGTTTCCAAGTCATCTCAGAGCCGATTTATGAGCTCTTGTAGAAAACGTCGTCTACTTCAGGACACGCTCCGCCCATTGTGGGCGGACCTCCGTTCACATCATGTGTGCTGGAAATACCTTAGACATCGCTGCCCTGCACTAATTTCTTTTCTGCTCTGTAGGCTTCCTCCTAACCTAGTTATTGATATTTTTATTGAGCACCGCTTTTCCAGAGAACGCCCCGCCCACCGAGGGTGGGTCTCCCCAATGCAATCTGGCTTACCGACGCACATTTATAACCACTTTTTGTTCCAGTCTCGAGGCTGTTTTTGACTGTATTTGGAATCAACCGATGCACGCCACGCCCACTGTGGGCGGGGCTCCGCTTGGCTGATGTGTGTTTTTTACTTCTAGGGATATGGTATACCCATCCCAAACTTGACCTGGACCCTGTAGGTTGTTGTTCGCTTGATACCGAATTTCGTGACAGACGGACAGACAGACATAGCGCATTATATATAGTAGGGATAGCAAAGGACGAGTCGCAGCGCATACTGCAGCGGTTAGGCGTCACAAACATAAACATAAACAGAGTGCACCATACTACGTCTCATATCGCACAGCACGCGCTGCGACTCTTTACCGCGTCTGCGTCTCTTCCTTCGCCGCGCGATGGGCCTCTTGGGGGATACCCGAATGTATCTTCAAGTTTACAAGCAATCTTTGACTAGACAATTATATATTGAAAGGAAGGACATCACTCGATATATCTCCTTGTCGGTGTTAATTCGTGCACTACTCAACTGTGGCTCGCATCGCATCATGAGGTGTCACTGGTGAAACTTCCCGAAGAAAAGGCTGCGGCTATTTATGTGGATACAGCGTTTAGTGAGAGCTCTTTGTCGCTAGTACAGCCCACAAGTATTGTGGAAATTGGGAAGAGTGGCATGATATCAGACCTGAACAATTCCCACCTCCTGTGCACAAGCTACGTCCCGTTGAAGGGGTTTTTTCCTTTACTGGAATGGAAAGGCATCAGTGGCAGATGGTGCACTAAAAATCCATTGGCTACTACGTCTTGTATTGAGTTTTATTCACTTTTCAACAGACGATGGTGGTGAGCGATTTGAAGTTGAGGCCCTTACTCAAAACATGACAGTGATAGACTGTTGCTTGCAGAGGATATTCCTTTCTCTATCACTGGCTTTCTCAAGACCTCATGTGAGCATCTGCAAAATTTGAAGATGGTCGCCATGAATTTTGTCGTCGATAATATCGTTCCTACGTAATGCCTTTTCCCACCCTTAGCCCCTCTCCAAGTTTTTTGTCTTCACTGTTCTCCTCTGCCTCGATTAAGCCGTGGGCATTGAGCAGCTTATAATGGTGTGAGCGGTTGTTGTCTTGCAACTCTCTACATGGCTGTCTTCTGAAACTTTCGCGTTCTGGTCATCTATCTCGTCAATTCGGGTACCGCTGGTAATGCGAATCAACTTGATTTCTATGCTTCTCCTAAGATGCAGATGGAGAACTTATGCAGGACTGATTTTAGGAATCTCTCTTTAGTGCACGGAAAGCCGCAAAGGGGTTCAGATCTCAAAGAAGCGCCATAATCGTTACCGGATGTCCGACCTAGCTGTGTGAGAAATTAGCTCTACTGGGATTTAGATGCATATAGACCGAACGGTAGCCCGTGACTTGTGGCAGTGTTATCACAAGAGGTTATGGGGAGCATCGGTCCGACAAGCTCGGGAAAATCCATAGACAACCACAGAATCGAAGCTGAAATTTGGTGCAAGATTTATGGGACACCCTGATTGAAAAGGTTTCGATGCACGTTACATTGTCCAACGCGTTCTGCCGAACGTGCGCGTCGTCAATGTATTGGAGACCCTCTTCTCATAACTCTCATAAATTCCATTGCCTATTTCACCTATCACGTCCTCGACGTGAGGTTGCCCAAATAGAGAGTCGTGGCGAAAAGCCGATCTGAACATCCTCCTGCCCATCACGCAATCAAAGGGCTACTTGGTCTCGATAAGCACCTTAGTGGGCACCTCGCGAAGAGAAGAGAACGTAGGACAGGAACAACCCTCGCGAGAGAAGAGAACAATAGAAAACTGCAAAAACATTCTCACCCTGATCAGCTATCTTCATGTCTCGGCTTCATCAATAAGAAGTAAAACGTATTTTCAGATGAGAGTTGCGCGATTTACCTAGAGAAAAGTAATCACGATGGAATTAGTGTAGATGGTGAGGCTAGTGTTTAACATCCCCTTTTGATATTCGGGGAAAGAGCTGTGCTTCTCACAAAGGCACTGGTGTCGCCATCGTACGCATTCAGGCAGGGCGACTCTAAACGGCTACACCACCCAAAAAAACTAGAGTCAGCGCTAGTAATGCTTTTAGAAAATTTAAGATCGCAGTTGGCTTGAACTCCCACTTGTGTGAGCTTGCTAACTCTAGAACTTCTACAGTGCGTTTCATAACTATAAGCTTACCCTCAAATTTTGCGTTTCCAGAATAAGCAGTCTTTTAGGAATTTTTCTGGCATCATCAGCGGATTCCCCAGCATGAATAACCCCCGTCACCGGATTTTGGGAGCAGCACCATTTTTCTGAACTTTTTTATAAGTGTTGTTTCGTTTTTGCACCGTTTCATAGTTATAAGCTCACTCTGAGAAAATGAACAATGTTTCATGAGGATCAACAGACGGTGCTCATATAAGTGAATTCATCTGTCACTAACAAATCTTAAGACTTCCTTTTTCGGAATGTTTCGTGGTGGTCTTCTGAAGAGAGGGCACAAGGTATGCATTTCCTACGTGCTGGGCTCGGCACAAAAGTGGTTGCGAAACATATCGAAAAATTGACCACTCATTCCAAGGATGTTTGAAAGTGCTTTCAAGTCTTCAGGTGTTCTACTATTCTTGCACACTCACGTTCATTTACTACCAACAATTGTAGAAGAATTTTGGAGGCAGCAGCAGTACTTTCTGTTATATCTAGATTCGCTCGTTAACCAAACACTTCTGTGTTGGAAAATAAAGTTCGGAGAGGGGTGGGAAGAGAAGCAGAGACATTAGTCAGCAAGGCGGTAGAGATCGTCCCTGGGCTCACTGGCCACAGCAATAATGCACGACTCCAATTTTCAAAGCTGAATTTAGATAAAGATTCGGTGAAAGTGAGTCTTCGTCACGAGACGCCATGCACCTCAATAGTCTCATCAACACTGGTTTTTTATAAGTGAAGAAGATGATGTAAGGCAGTTTCAAAGAAAACAAGCGCTTCACAGTAACTTTCGAAGGCAGACCGGTTGGTTTGGTTCTCGTAATTTCGGTAGTGCAAGTGTGAAAGACTGAGTTGCTTTCTGTAATGATGTTATAACGAAACTTTCCTTAGTAACCTGCGAAACCGACTTCCACGGATTACCAGTAAGTCTAGCAGCAACACTTAGTGCTTTTTCCATGCAGGCGACGTCGTCTAAACTATTCTTATAGCGGCAAGATCTGCCGTCCACGTGAGTCCCAGCAAAAGATTGGCTGCATTCCCAAAACATAAGCGTCCAGCAGTGGCCAGCCTGCAGTCCGGATGTCCATCCGATGGAGAACATCTAGGGCATCATCGCCAACAAAGGCTTATGCGAATAAGCGTTACTTACAAAGTGAAGAAATTCTGAAACAGGCTATCATCAAAGCTTGGAGTGGAATCGATAAAGAAGGGCTTGAAACCTGGTTCCTAGTAGACCACGGTGATCCTTGGATATCGCACTTCAACAAAGTGGAGTCATAGATTATTAACTCTCTCACGTGTGTCAGTAACATAAATAAATTGTTCATTTTCTCAGGGTGAGCTTATAATTATGAAACGGTGCAAAAACGAAAAAAACTCTTATAAAAAAGTTCAGAAAAATGGTGCTGCTGCCAAAATTTGGATACGGGGGTTATTC